CTCGATCTCCTGACCTCGTGATCCACCCGTCTCAGCCTTCCAAAGTGCTGGGATTACAGGCTTGAGCCACCGCACCCAGCCTGATGTGTTTTTCATTAGAAAGAGAAAACTAGGCAGCACCCCACCCTATGTCTCCTTCCTGGTGGTCAATGCAGCATTTCCCATGACTCACTCCTGGCACCAGTAGGAAGTCAGAGGCTCAGCACTCAGGAACTCATTTTTTGAGATGGGCTTGCTCTGTCACCCAGGTTGGAGTGCAGTGGCAGGATCTCGACTGGTCTCCTGACCTCCGTAGATCCGCCCGTCTCGGCCCCCCAAAGTGCTGGGATTACAGGTGTGGGCCTCCACACCCAGCCAACCAGATATTCATTTTTAAAGATAAGAGTGCAGGCTGTGTAAGCTATTATCCATGTCGTTACATTCCAGGCCGACATGTACCTAGGTGGGAGGGAGACTGAACTCGTGAAATTCTCCTAATGACAAAAAGAGAAACCAGAGTCATCCTCTACATCCACATCGCCCAGCTGGAAGCCACAAGCTCTACCCACTCCTGTCCTGCTATGATTTTTCCTGGCTTTGACCTGCATAGTGGTGCGGCTGCTCCGCTCAGAGCCTCAGGGAAGCTTTTGAGACTCAGGGAAACCACACAGAGCCCTGCTGAGTCTTGCCCTCGGGGCATTCTCACATTCTCACATTTATGAATAAATGCCTCCCCCTCTCCCTTCCCCCCAAAGCACAGTGTGGCAGAAAACTGCGCCAACAGGTCCTGCCAGTCAGAAGTCACTCCAAGTAATTACACAGTCCCCTGATTTTGGCTCCAAACTATAAATTTAGTCCTTCCCACCTTGAATGTGTGCACACACTATTGAGATCCAGGCCCATCCTCAAATTAGCTGGCAGCTCTTAACGCAAATAAATCCAAGTTGGGATGGCCAGGGTTCCAACATAAACTTCAAAAGCAGGACCCTTCCAAGGCCGTGGGATGAACCTGAGAATTGCCAAGACCTGCCTTCGCACCCCGCCCAGCCAAATCATGTGACATCTGGTACAAGTGATTTTCCCCCTGAAATTCCACAAGAAAACTGTTTTGAAAAGCAGTTCTCTCTGGCCTGGTGAAGAACATACCAGCACCGAGCCCACCAAAACAGCTGCCCCATGGCTGTTTCCCAGCCTAACCTGGGACTCGCACGTCCATCCACTCCAAGACTGAATCTGCAACCACGCTCCCCTGTCTCACTACTGGGCAACCCTCGGGGGGGATCCCTTAGCCTAAACCAGCACCAGTCACTGCCCGCATACGATTTTATTACTACTGTTTTCTTATGAGTCAGCCCGTGTCACTGACTCCTGACAAGCTGGTTGGATTGGAGAGCAGAAATGAATGGGTTTTTTTTTTTAACTGCAATTTCCTTCTTACCAACCAGTCAGCAATCGGAGCTCTAACAGTAAATCGGTTGCTCAGTTACTCCACGTGGGTGCCACGCAAGAGGCTGGGAGTATTGCTCAGCGGGGCCAACGGGAGGCTGGCACTTGCCTGAATCGCTTAAGTGGGGGAATGGAATGCTCACCGAAGGGCAGGGCAAGGACCCTGCCGTCCCCTCACTGAAGATATTCCTAGCCCGTGGGAAGAAGTGTAAAAGAATGAATGAAAGAAACGCACGTGGTTTCTGGGACCAATGACCTTAGCCTAGAACTGCCGGGAGGGTCCAGGGATGCAAAAATGTAGAGATGTGGGAGCCAGGGGAGAAGTGACGCAAGGATGCAGGGACCCAGGGACCCAGGGATCCGGGGACCTAACCCTAACCTCCCAACCCCCGGCCCGCGCCCCGTACTCACGCACGCAGAGGCAGGCCACGAGCTTGGCTGCCTCTTCGGGCACTGGGCAGGTGGGGAAGAGCGGCTTGAGCAGGTAGGTGGCGAAGACCAGGGCCACGATGTACTGCGAGGAGGGCCGGATGATGAGCAGCTCGATCCAGAGCTTGAGGAAGGCGGGCAGCGAGCCGTAGACCTCCAGCATGTAGGCGTAGTCGCCGCCCGACTTGGAGATGGTGGTACCCAGCTCGGCGTAGCAGAGCGCGCCCACGATGGAGAAGACGCCGCACGCGGCCCACACCACCAGCGCCAGCCCCGGCGAGCCCGCTTCCTTGAGCACGCCCGTGGGCGTCACGAAGATGCCCGAGCCGATGATGGTGCCCACGATGATGGCCACGCCGTTGAGCAGCGTGATGTTCCGCTGCAGGGTCACGCCC